TAGAGCTACAAAAAATAGTAAGAACAACAATGAAGGTTGCAAACAGTGCATAAAGAAACCTGTAGGTCCATTCAATTTGCCCTGCACTTCCAGAACTAGTTCACGGTGGTGTCGTCTGGATGTTGCGTTCGCGCAGGTGACGTTTCATCAAGTGCAGCAGCGACGAGACATGGAAACGAATACGAGAGTGCAGATGTCGTGCAAGTCATATGCTACTCGTCGGCTGTCTCAAGGGTTATGGAGGTTGTGATTCGTAAAAGACAGTGCTGCTTACGTTGGTTGGCATGTGTCTACCGGAAAATGTTCACTGTCGTACTTGTTGCACATCGCTAAAACAGACACGAATGCAATCGGCTGTGTCGTCTGCTGCAGCTGCAGCCATCTTGTGCTGCACGGATTTGGCACTACCTCACGAGCAGATGCAGGGAATTCATAAACTAGCCTTGCAAGGCAGCTGCACTACGGTGCTGCTAGCGCCATGCTGAACTCGTAAAACGAATGCCGAAGTGCAGTGCCTCTGTGAACCGGTTCATGAAGAGCAGGTGAAATGAATAGACCCTGTGAACACAAGTTGCAATTCGGTAGCTGTCAGACATGGTAAGTTTCTATTAGCGTATGTAGGGATAGGAAATTGGTTATGTAAATAGTTACGTATCACACTGCTTTAATAAGCTATGTGCTCTTGTTTCTACATAATGATCAGTGCTAGTAACCCAATAATTAAGCAAAGGACAGAAAGCCAGAACTGCTGGTACTGCTGCTTGCGAACCAGTATGTGGGTGCATTTAATATCTGTGTAATGTGCTACGTCAATGCATTTGGTACAACGAAATGCACTGGCTGCATTAAATGTAGAATTTTTCCAGAACTGTAGGAGGCACTGAAAATGCTGACTACAATAATGAGATACGATAAATGCGAGTGACATGGCAAATGACCAAAATAAAAGACGTAATATAGGCGCTTTTTACTGTTTTTCTAGTCTCATGGTTTTCTTTGCCACATCACCATCAAAACTTACTGAATTTTTCTAGTAAACTGACGATCTATTTAGTGGCACTAAAGTTATAGTACACTGACGGAAAAGCACTGTCAATGAAAAGAAACAATTCGCAACCTTCACTGCACTGACTCATGTGATGCACTGGCAGAATTCACGCTTAATTAAGACTTTTGCAGCCACCTCAGTTCAAAGGCATCATAGAAGTGCTACATGTATTTGGGGTGCTGCTCAGTGTGTCGCATTCCATTAACCGAGATAGCTCGCACAACACATTGACACACACATAAACAAAACTTACAGATGTTAAAACATTTCATTTATTGATCATATTGTTTTAAGATAGATGCATTGACAATTGTAAAATGCTACAACACACAGCTGCTCAGCTGCAGCAGAAGGTCAACAGGATAATAACGGCAATAGTGATAGGCAAGTCTAAGTGCATGTGATTCCCGCACACTGACATTGCTGCAGCAAAGCTGTACATAGGCTCGCCCATAGCTTGATGAGTACATTCATCTGTTTGTGGGTAAAATGGGTAAAAAAAGTGAAAAAATAAAAAGAAAACTGACAGTATTATTTACCTCACAACAACCCCCCCCCCCCACCTTTTTTTGCATTATTAAGTATGTCATAATCTCTCACAATTTCAAGCAGGAATGATTTACCACTAAAAAGTGTACCGGACAGGAACAAGTGTTGCATTCATCTAGCCGTCACCAATACCTAAAATCAATGCTGGTAAAGTTTGTCAGCCACCAAAGCATACTACAGTTAAACCTGGATATAACGAAATTGGAAATTTTCTGGAAAAATTCGTTATAAAAAGAATTTTGTTATGTGCAGGTTTGGCACGAGAATTTAGAAATTAAACGCGCAAATTATTCATAAGGGGGAGCTGAAGGCAGAGCTAACCCAAAAGACTTATTTTACAGGAAAAGGCTGAGTTATTATTGCGATACCAATTATGTGGACACTCGCGGCGGGTTTTTGCCGTCACCGCCATGTTCCGTAACAAGTCCACATTGATAATATATGCCCCCACGCATCTAACTTTCACGGGTGAGTGAAAACGCGTGAGTGCTGCTGAAGCAAAGATCGAATGAGTCGGCCCATCCCCATCGCCTGAAAAGTGCATACCATCTCCCGCGTGTTGTTAGAACTGCCGTCGAGTGCTCAAACAGAAAGTAAACGACCCGTCTTGAACGAGCATGAAACAACGCGGGGATCGCTTGAGTAGCAATAACGAACTTGGATTTTAAGGGCGGTCGTAATCGCTGGCACACTTGCTATATATATCGGCGAGTATCAGTGCGATGTTAATGTGAAGGGACTGCGTGAAAAGAGCACTTCTCCCTGGAGCGGCCGTATTTGCTCACACCAGCGTTTTGTAGGAGTTTCGCGATATCAGACCAAAAAGAGTTGGTTGCCAGCCTTACTTCCTATAACATTACATTTTTTTTTTCTATCGCGATCATTGGATTGCATTGAACGCGCCGCCGTGTTGCCAGAACTAATCGGCTAATCGCGAAAGCTACCAGCCTGCGAACTAGCGGCGCGGCGCAAAACAAAAGTGCGTGACAAGTAGACCTACTACGATCTGTTGTCACTATGGTCTCCAAGAGTTTCCATCAGCGCCTAATCTGACATCTTATCGGTGGTCAGGACACGGTTGTCCGAAATAAAGAAAAGTTACGCTTTGCTAAGACGACACGGTGGTGGTACCTACCCGTCGCCTCGCGTTCTACACCTTATCACCTCTGAGACGGGCGCGCACGGCCACGCGCTTTGTTTTCCAAAAGAAACTGCCAGATGACGCTCATGGCTCACGTGTGACATGACTTGATGCGCTCGTTAGCCGCTGCTACCCGCTTGAGGCACTCTAACGCAGCGCGTCCAGAACACCATTCACCGATTTTCTTGCGCAGAACATCAAATAAAGGTTTTGTTCACTCTCTCCACACGCAAGACTGCCGTTTTTCGACGATATTTGTAATGTAACATGCAAATACGGGGCCAATTTCTTTTTTTTCTTGAGTTTTCATATATATAGGTACATATACATATACGATGAATATACGACTAACGCGTCATATTCGTCAAGCCATCTTACCCTCCCATGCTGATTTTGGTTTACGCCACGTTAAAGGGGTGACCATAAGAGCACCTAAACGTAAGCGGGTAGCTAGATAAATAGATAGATAGGTATATACGCTCAAAGACGTCGAAGTTCGCTAAGAAATGCTTCGCATTTAAAAAAAGCAAAGCTGAGCGTCGTCGGGGGCCACGCCATGCGCGCGCAGTGAAACTATGCACGCACGCACGGCACAGACACAGATACCGCGAAAAACTATTCGGATCGCATTGGTGTGGTACGATCCACCTTACAGGACGTGGGCACCACAGGGCTCCGTTCTTTTCCCTACATTATTTATATCGCACTGGCAGGGCTTCCGCGCTTGCCCGACCAGATCCCCTATGTCGCCCATGCTACTTATGCAGATGACATCACTATCTGGTCGACACTGGGTTCTAATGGAGCCATCCAGGACCGACTGCAGAAAGCAGTGGATACTGTCGTTGAGTACGCTAAAAAGGAGGCTTGCAATGTGCTCCTCAAAAATCAGAACTCATCGTCATTCGCTCCCGAAGCAATAGCGTTCCTTCCCCAATTATTGTGCACGTGGATGGCATACACATGTCCCTCGTGTCCGCATTCTTGGACTACATGTTCAAGCGGATGGCAAAGCTAATTACACCATTGGCCTTTTATCTCGACAAGTTGATCAAATACTGTCCATTATCCGGCGGGTTTCAAATCGGTGCTCAGGGTTAAAGAAGAAGACCTGCTGCGCTTGGTGGAGGCCTGCGGAATCAGCCGGCTGACATATTACCTGCCCTTCCAACAGTTGACCCAATCGCAAAAACTACACTAGACGCCATGATCCGCAGAGTGACAAAGCTGGTCCACGGCATTCCAAACTACACTTCCACGTGTCTCCTTCTTAAGCTGGGGACACACAACACACTAAGCGAGCTGCTCTAGGCATATTAGGTCAGTCAGCGCCAACGCCTCCTACTCACCCCTACTGGCCGCGATCTCCTCTCACGCCACGGATATCCCGTCCCACCACTTGAGATTGAAACCCGCCCCACGCCCTTATCGCCTGCAATACGGAAAGTACTAACTGTTCATCCCTTACCACGTAACATGCACCTCAACATGACAAGGGCCGACGCAAATCCCGCGTACGATGCCTCAGCCGTATGCTCGAAGAGATCCCGGAATCGCATACTCTTCACACGGACACAGCCTGAACACGCGAAGGTTACACCTCAGTAGTGTTAGATGGCACCGATTCCCTGCAGGACTCGACTGCAATACGTGGGACACACGCCGCTCACGCCGAAATTCTTGGAGTCGCTCTAGCGATACGATACGCTATCTGTGTTCACAGCAAGGTCTACATATTGACAGACTCGCAACAGGCATGTTGGGCCTTTCTATCAGGACATGGCATCCCAAGAGCGGCCCACCAAATTTTCTATCAAATTCCGCTGAGTCAAACAGTACTTTTCGCGTCCACTTACTCTGGACTCCTGGTCATGCCTCTCTGCCAGTAAATGAACGCGCACACGCTGTTGCCTGCGAAGTTTCCCTCCGGGCGGACCGGCAAGGCGAGGCGACCATTTCGCAGTGGCGGGATCCTCTTCTCACTTACAACAACATTCTCCGTCACTACAGGAATGTCCGTCGCACTCAGAGCGCCCCATCGCCATCTTTCTCGCGATAGGAGGCAGTAGCCGTTACGCCAGCTACCAGCTACTAAAACATTTCCCAATTTAGTATCACTTCATAAATTCTACCTGCAGTGCTATGCAGACCGTTGCCCCAGCTGTGAAAACTTGCCCACGACCTTCCATGTCTCTATCGAGTGCACTGCGAACATCTTTCCTCCCTTACCTGCTTTCCTTCACCCTTTACGTGACGAGGAGCTGTGGGATGATTCTTTTTGCGATGGACCTCGCGAGGTCCTCCGTGCTCTGATACAGCGGGCCCGACTCGTCGCTGGAGTCGTCCTAGGGACCCCGAACTAGGGGTTCCTCCCACGCCCTCCTTCTCCATGCTTTTGTGAATAAAGACGTTTCTCTCTCTCTCTCTATTCGGTAAAGCACCCTCCGAATTCAGCGCGGCCCTACATATGTGACGCTACCTAAAAGCATGGCACTGCCAACACGCAAAAGTAGTTTTTTTTTAGTAGGGGAGGGGGGGGGGCACACCCAGGGGCGAGAAAGGCTGCAACGCAGGCTCGTGGGGTGCAGGCCCGCCTCACGCTGACGCGATCCGCGTGCCCACTTCGCGCTTAGTCAGTGGCCGGGCAGCTGCGGAAGATGCATGCTTGTACCAAAATGACAAAATGCACAGCAAAATTCCTAGATTTACCGTGGGGCAAATTCGTTATATCCAGGTTGTCTCCCGCTGTTGCTTTGTTACATAAAGGTCGCAAATACAGATGCTTCTATGGAGCGACAGCGGGAAATAGAGAAACTTCGTTATATCGAGGAATTCGTTATATGAAGGTTTGTTATAAACAGGTGTAACTGTATCACACCACAAGAGGAGATTAGGTTAAGCTTAAACACCAAAAGTTAGAAACCCATGAGTACTTTAAAAAAGATGTAGTGGTAGTCTCGGAACATTAGTAAAAAATTGTGTCATGGGTGAATGCACCTGCCAGGCGAAAGTCATTTTCTGCCATGACACAGAACATGCGTTGTGGGGTCAACCTTGCAGCGGGCGTGGGCCGACTGTGCCTTGTGCGTAGAATGTACTCGCGTGCTGCTGGGCTGGGGAACTTGCATTCACCATTCTCTTCCCCTTCTGAAGCTGTATCGTTTTCCTGCAATTGAACACAAGCTCAATTAAAAGATTACCTAAGCAAGTATAAACATGAACTGCTAATGCATAGAATACTAGCAGACGACAACGAACTAGCATGGTGTTGTTTCAATTACTAAGTCATCTCTGTCACTGAAGTCCAGTGAACTTGCTTTGGTACTACGTAGTCATAAAATTTATTATAACTACACAAAGTTGAGAGTTGGTCGTCAAATTGTGAATAAACTGGTTCTTCTAAGTTACTAAATATTTTCGTAAGATTTTTTTTTTTAAATAGGAGATGTATGAGCTATACGAACATGAAATTTCATCAGTGTACTTCCTTTTTACTACAGTAGCTTGCATATGGCTTATCAGCACTCATTATTATGGGTACTACTTCAACCTTCAGGCCCCATTTACCCTCATCTGAGTGTGCTAGGTATTTGAGAACACAATGAAAATGTTGAAAAATGGCAACATTGTTTCAGAAATGAATTCGAATAGTATTGGTCTCTATTTTAGATATTCAGTTCTTCAAAGCTGTTGAATATAAACCATCATTAACTTCTAGTATTTAGTGTGTTCAGCTTCTATAATGGCTGCATACTACAATCAGACTGTGTGCTTTGCCATGGGGCAATGCTGCCACAATAACAGCTTTTAGCGAATTTCAAGCAATGTAGAGCTGTTCAGTAGCAGGCTTACATAAGGAATTATGATCCCATATTGGGAGTACTATGGCAGCAGAAATTTACAGCCAGTTTCTTTTGATTTGTACTTGCCCTGTGGAGCAAGCAAACCAATCCCGACACCTAATAAAATTGTGTACAGAAAGCCTGTCTACAGACTTAGATATGCACCACAATGGCCACAATTTGTTTTTCACGGCTCCAACTCATCATGACCGGACGAGTTCTTGCCCATGAAGAGCATTCCCAGTATGTACTTCGCTCACACTTTGTGTAGAGCGGTGCCTACCATGCTGTCTGCTACAGCACCCTTCATTATTTCATTCACTCCCTGCAAAGTGCACAGCAGATTCATCGGCGTACAGCAAACCATTCACAACCAATGGAAATTTGCATGAAATAAACGCATTCCTGCTCACTGACATTTTTGAGGTTCAAAACATAGGACAACTGCAGCGCACTGCATCATGTTGCCAGGGCATATCAACATACTTCATTAGCAGTGCTGTCAGTCAGGTTGTCCATAAAAATATGGTCCTTAAAATTACTTATGTATGCTTTTTCTAGTAAAAGACATAAATGCAGAATCTATACGTGTTGTTTTGGTGCACCACACATGCACAATAATTGCTTTTTAATTGACTATTGCACAAGCATTAACACTCAACCTTGAGCAACATAGGTGGGCACTGCGGATGGGGTCTATCGTTTCAAGTACCCGATGCCATTAAGAGCGGACAAACAGACAAATGTACAGAAAGACAGACGGACCAAAATGTTTGCGTCGAAAGCCCTCAAGAAAGACTATTGTCTTTAAAAGTAGAGAGAGAGACTTGGTAGGCTATATCTTAAATTGTCTCAATTAATTTTTAAAATCCCCAGCAGTTTTGTTTTGCAATGGGTCTGAAAATATGGCATAGCGTCGAACCATTTCTCGCATACTTGGGCATAGTTATGATAGCAGCAGCCAGCGATTTTGAGATGCGAAGCAACTGCAGCTCTTCTCGAGTGCATTGTTACAGGGCAAAAGAGATGGCAGAGACCACTTAGCCAAACCAGTCTAGCCAGCAAGTTCTCCTTCAGAGATATCTACTCAGCAAGGAGCAGGGGTGAGGAGGAGAGCATTCAGGCACCCTAGCCTCTACGTGCTGGAGAAACTCAAGTGCTTGAGAGGCATCTGATCACAGGTACTGCCTATTTATGTTACCGCCGTATTCATAAACCGATCTTAACTTATCGCAGTAAAGTTACTTATGAAAGGATGAGAAAAGTATAAGAAAAGTACAAGTCGAGTTTCAGAAACCTCTCTTATCTTGTCTTAAAAACACTTTATGAAAGGTGTCCTTAGCTCGTCAAGTATAGGCACTGGGTGCGAGGGTAGGTAAATTTTTGCAGCAAAATCATTACCTCAAGAAGCAATAAATTAGCTTTACTGCAAGAAACCAACAACAGTATGTACAAAATCAGCCAAACGTTAAATGTTTAGCTGATTCAGCAATGTTTGTAGCAATGAATGTGAACATTCGACAGAAGTCAGTCTGGTTGGGTATGAAACTGGGAGATGATTTAGACTCCAACCAAAAGTTTTGAAGAAACCCGACGTTTTGGAACCGCAATGTTTGTTTAGGTACCGGCATCTTTCAGTGAAATACACATTTTTTGTCTGGCGACTTTTCAGCAACTCCCGTCAATGCAGGCTTTTTAGGGGCAAAGCTCCCTATAGTCTAACCTTGTCACTTGTCATGCGTAACCGAGAAAAGAATTGACGAGAAAGAGAAATAGATGACCATTTCTCATCTCATTTTTTGGATGGCCTTACTCTGCCGCTACTCTCTGAAGTGCCGCTACTCTCCAGTTGGCTGCTGCGCATGCTTTGCCTGAGTACGGGAATGAGTGCCTCTCTGTCTCCTGGATAGTCGCCATACGTGGCGAATTGTTGGTGGGGCATGGATAGAGCAGAGCAGCGGGCGAGTTGAAAACACTTGCGCTCAGCCTCCTTGGCTCGCGTCTCGTCAGTGTTACCCGCGCGCCATCAGAATTATCGAATGCGACCAGACGCAAGGATGCATGCACGGACGGAGGAGAAACATGTGAATGGATGAACAGACGGACGCTCTGCCCCACTGATTATCATTCACTCCATAGATATGCTGCGATTTTTTTTGTTATTTTGATCTCTTGTATCTTTTTGTTGTGTTCGGTGGTGTTATCATGCTCGTTCAGCATTTGCTGTTTTCTTTCGCTTTTTTAGAAACTCGATTTCTTTGATAGGTTGAGTAGTTTTACAGCCGTTTTTTTGCGAAGTTGCATTTATTGTGGAATTCTGCACTCAAGTGAACTTTACTAACGAAGTGGCTACGTGCCGACAGATTTTGTTAACAAGTACCCAGACTGACACAGTGCGCTTTCAGAGAAAACAAGAAACGTGGAAGCAGCTCATAATAGAATTCAACAGCCAACACAATGTGCATCCGTGAACAGCCGACCAAACAACTAGAAAAGTGTTTGCGCCACTTTGGAAAGTCTTGTAACTGAACTTTTATTTCCCTTGAAGTGCACGAAGAAAAGTCATGTGATTCTTCGTGCTTGCGCTCTTGACACTCACGCATAAAAGCACCGTTTCACGATGCTACGATACTCCCCCATAGTAAATGGGTCAACACCAAGTTGTAGTTCATAAGTTCAGTCGCACCAGAAGTCTTGTGCCACTCCGCGTGAACCTTTCGACGAATGGTTGGGCTGGTTCATTCTGGTCTGCTAGTAGCCTTTCTGGCTGTGTAACTCGAGTTGGTGCGCACGCTTCGCTGTCCACGTGCGCTGGTTTTATGCGGTCAAGCGAAACCACGTCATGGTGGCCACCTCTGTCAATAGTGATGTGTTTTTTTTCTCGTTTCACAACCTTGAATGGCCCATCATAATGTACAACGTCATGCTTCACGAACACGTGAGAACAGGAGGAGAGATCACTGGGGACGTAGACAGGCCATGGTGCTGGCAGACGTGGAGGCATAGGGCGCAGCTTGCTCATAATGTCCTGCAGTCGCAAGGCGTACTCACTGTTGTCCTGAGCGTTTGCGTTTTTACTGTCGGCGACGAACTCCCCAGGAAGGCGAAGTGTTGTGCCGTATATGAGTTCAGCCGAGCAGCAGCCAATGTCCGCTTTCAGAGCCGTCCTAATTCCCAATAAAACCAGAGGTAGAGCCTTGACCCAATTGTGACTTGAATTTGCCGCCAGGCTAGTCTTCAATTGGTGATGGAACTTTTCTACCATACCGTTGCTGATGGGAAGGTAGGCCGTTGTTCGGACGCGCCGGATTCCTAGGAACTGCGTGATGTTCCCAAATAGAACAGACTCGAATTGCGTTCCGCGATCTGTTATCACAGTCGATGAAACTCCGAATCGCACTACCCAGTGACAAACGAAAGTGTGAGCAACCGTGTCGGCAGTCATATCTCGGATAGGGGCGGCCTCCAGCCATCGTGTGAAGCGATTGACGCAAGTTAGCAAGTAGTTTTGCCCTTGACAAAAAGGCAATGGTCCCACAATGTCCAAATGCGCATGGGAAAATCGAGTGTGCGGCTCGAGGAAAGATCCTAAGGGGGTTACAGTATGGCACTGCACTTTGGAGCGCTGACAAGATAGGCACTCCCGAATACAACGTCGAACATCTCGGTTTATTGCGGGCCACATGAGCCTAGCAGTGCAGAGCCGCTGAGTGGCTCGGATTCCCGGATGAGAGAGGCCATGCAGCGATTCATAAATGTTGTGGCGAAAATCCGGGGGCACGGATGGTCTGGGCCTCTGTTACAAGCTGCCACTCTAGCGTCGCCAGCGCGAAGTCGGCGACGGCAATGACAGCAGGTTGGTTCGTTCCGTACGCAAGCAGAGACAGTGAAACAGTGAAGAGATGAGAGACGTGGGAAAACAAAACAACTTTACTCTAGGGATATTGCAGCACACTGGATCTAATATAACACTTCAATACAACTAACAAAATACATCAACACTTGATACAAATAAAAAATATATCACAGAAACAATAAATCAGCTTACGTGAGAGAACTATTACAAACTACACAAACTAACACAACAGAACTACAGAGGAGAAAGTTCGAAGATATAAACAGGTGAAGGCATACGTGTGATGACCGGCAGCGTTGTGTCCCCGACGATCGGATGCGAGAAGTCGAAGAGAGTTCTGGCACGACTGCGATGTCGGCGGTGTTGCAACGCTGGTGGCTCCGGGAGGCTAGTGCTTGCAGGTGACTTCGAGCAGGTTGAGCTAACTCGAAGCGAAGTCCCCATGTCTACGTTGCAGACGTTAATATC